TGCCAAACCTGCACTGCAGCTCTTGCATATAGATGCTGAGTATTGCATGTAATTTGCATTCCGTAATTTCAGAATACCATCATCCACACCTTTAACAAGAGTAAGAATATTCAATTCAGTGGAATGTGAAGGAGCTCTGACACAGATTCTCCGCTAAACCTCTGCAGAGGTAAAACTCTCTTCCGTCCTCTGTCTCCTACTTTTACCCTCAGTTCCTTTTTTGTTATGCGTCTACATCTCACGTCCTCCCCTCTCATCCAGCAACCTTTATCCTATTTTGTTTTTTCCATAGATAACTCTAGTCCTCCATTATCTCTGCCTCTTTTTCGCACTCTACTTGTCTTTGGCACTGACCTCACTACGGCATTGCAGTGTAGGAGAAGATGCATCAACATCTTTCTCTTTTCCTTCCTACCTGCAAGGTGAAAGCCTCAAACTAAAAAGGGGTCCTTCTGTCACGGTAGAACGCGATTTATTTATTTTTTACGAGTCAGACACATCTGTGGTCGGCAAAATATCTGAGCACCACATGTGAAAAAGAAAATATGAAGTAGGCCGTGTTTTGTAAGTAATCTAAATCTTAAAAAACAGAACCCTATTGAAAGGACACACAGACAGATGACCTGAGATGCTAAAGAAATGCCACTTTCACTTAAGTGTCATGTGGACATATCTCTGTTTTTGGTAGATTGGCAGAGTGTACAAGCAGTTGTTTGTGCAACTGGAACAATCACGACTTATTTGGACAAGAATATTGCGGAGGTGTTCAAACTGTGCTGACACAGAGGATTAACAAAGAGGACGGAAACATTTACATAACATTTTTAAGCGTAGAAACAGTTTGAACATGATTATAGGCCACTCCAGACCTACCAGCAAATGAAAATATTTGTATGATTTTCAGCTTTTCTGCAGAAAGATATTTGCTTCAATTAAAGTACACAAAAAACGAGTTACAAATATTAATAGAAACCATTGTGAAACTCTATTTTTATTGCGTGTACCAAGTTTTTAATCTGGTTGTGTCATCAACTGCTGGCAGGATACATCTGCCCACCCAAGAGTAGTAACTCAGTTAATTCACCTTATTAGCACACAGAGTAAGAAAGGTCCACCCCAGGATCATTAAAACTGTGAATTTACAGTGAATTTGGTTTGGGCTGGAGAATGAGGTTATTTATGTAGACAATGATTCTTCTCAGTGTGTGATAGAGGATTATATTCATTGGTTATCCATGCACACAAACTCTACATCGGTTAGAAGTCAGGCTCATGGAAATCACAAAACATTAATCTTTGAATGAGTCATATTATGCAAGCCACCTGTGGTTAGTCAGAGGCACAGAAGCAACTCTCAAGTCTGTCTCTTTCAAAGACCATAATTAAGCTAACCTATGCCAATGCGTAGAATTGTACCATTTCTATTTTTACCACTGTTCTGTATTCCTACGCTAATTATCTATCCTATGCAAGAGGCATAGGTTAGCTTAAAACCTACAATTAAGAAGTAGCTTAATTGTAGCTGGATCAGACAGTCTAGACATCCAACATTGCTATCTGACAGTTTCTCGAAGTACATCCTCGCGTTGCAAGAGGGAGGGTTGGCACTCAAACAGATGACTGACATGCAACCATGTTCCAAACTTTTGATGCAGGGGAGACTCGTCAGCCATAGGGAGATATCACTGTTCTGTTCTTTGGAACTCCATCCTTGGAAAGCGCACACATGCAAACTCTTCAAAGAGACACTACACAAAGGCTGAACATCCTATTTGTGGTGCCATCTAGCAGTCGCTGCATGCTGCGGCCACACCCTGTGAAGTGCAAGACTTCACAATGCACAACAGTGCAATACTACACACAGTTGGTTGTGTCCACACCTGACCACACCCAACGACACAGTTGGGTGTGGTCAGTAGTGCAACAGACTTGAACCTTTCAACCCATAGAGGTCAGTGCAACAATTTTGACTCGATTTGTGATTTAGTGTGGAGTTGCTCATAAACAATCTAGGAGGCACCTTTACAGCACAAAACTGTGCCAGTGGTGAACAATTCTCCAACTTGCTGGTACATCCAAAAGCATCATTCGGATAATTTAAATATTAAGAGTCACTGATTTCCTGACCATGCAGACACATGCTTTGGATTAGGAGTCAAGTCTTTATCTTTAGTAATTTTGTGTAAATGAGATTGCCTAAGAATGTCTGACATCTGATATCAAAGAATGCCTTCCTACAGGTAAAAAGCCAAGGTCCAGACCATCACTTAATTTTACAGTAATCCACCCTAACCCAAGGTCTCTGTGTCCAACAAGAATTCTCAGTAAAAAAAATGTTTTAATCCTGCAAACAGGCTAACTATAAGAGACAAAATCAATATCGGTTTGGCGAGGATGAAAAAAACTTTGGGGAGCTACAGCCTAGAATTCTCAAAACACACACAAAATACTGTCCAAAGTGACTCCAAAGACAATGCTTCTTGGCTCGCATGGCATGGACAAGCAGAGTGGGAGAGAACCTCATTGGAAAGCAGCTAATGTTACAGCTAATACTCTAGGGTAAACTACAGAGCCTTGTAGGACAAACACAGTCTGAGGGAAGCCAAAACACACAGGGATCATTTACAGAGCATTTCACTGCTTTCATCACAGCAGCACATAACTGTGGGCATCATAGAAACTACTTCTTTCATGATCAAATGCTTTTACAGCTATCATCTGACTGTCTAACTCTGTGCCATTTTGGAAGGTGGGTAATTAATCTAGTATGCTCTATCATATGATGAATGAAAGTTGGTGAATAAATTGACCAAGATTAGCAAAAGCTCCTTTTACTAAATGTATTTCAGGTATTCATGGAACCCTTTGTAATGTTCAGCCAGTGAAGTGCATGATCAACAAATAGCTCAAATTAAGCATGTAAGAGGAAGCCATTACATCATCAGAGTATTCATTGTGACTTTTTGTAGCAGACAAATTGAGAGTTGCCTCTGTGCCTCTGTAAAAACTGTAGGTGGCTTACAGTCAATGAATCACCCAAAGGTTGATTTTCACCATTTTTCCAGGGTTTCAACGATTCAGTTGCCAGGGCTGGATTTTAAAGCTGCATTAAGTAATTGTTGACCACTAGGGGGCGGAAAGACTCCAGAACATGTTCACAACAGTTAGCAGTTAGCTTATGAAGTTGTTATGGCTAACATGTTAGCAAACAGTTGCCTACTTACATATCCAGCAGAAACAGAGCAACACGGACATCCCTTTGGTCTCCTTTTTCTGGCCACCTGTTGGATGTAATCCCAATATTCACTGGCATTTAGCCCCTGTTTGGTCACCCAGCTCATGAGAAAAAAATGTGAGTATGTTTTTGGTGTGCTACGTGTCCAACATTCTTCACTTCTTCGGCCCTTTGGCATTTTGGATCGTTGGTGTACAGTTAGCGTTCAGCTTCTGTGCTGGGAAGAAGCTATATTTATGTACAACACCGTTTTGGTTTTGTCGCTCCTGTAAAACCAAAACAACGCGGCTGAACGCTGCAAACAGCCTCAAAGTGGGATGTTGATTCTCAGTGGTAGCAGCAACACCACCAACCCAGGAAGCAGGAAGGAGTTGTTGGATTAAATGGTTCAAGATATTCCTCAATGCATCTTTAAATCAAGTCAACATGCTCCATTTCATGTAGGTTTTCATTCCACTAGACTAGACCAGGTGATTTCATTGGTTAACACACTTTATTCAACCACCCAGGAAGAACTCACTGAAATGACTTGGTGTAGTGTTTGGTTGGAAGGAAAATCTCCATCTGGCATAGTTTCCGATTCCTGATCAGCACATGTTTTTGGTATAAAGTGGCACACATCATCTCTGGCGCTCTGATGCAGTTACAACGTCCTGGATTTTGAAGCATTTGAAGGAACTCATGAGCCAATTTTCAATCCATCAAGACACTCTTTTTCTCTCACACACTCACACACACACTCACTCACATAAAGCTGCTGTAGAGAGATTAGACCATACCCTTGTTGTGGTCTGGACAAATGAACACAGCAGTGCAGTCAAATTCGTGGCATTGTATTTTTTCGCTGAAAAGCAATTTTCAATTAACAAATCTATACATCCAGGGTTCACAGGCTAAAGGCACGATGACTCTTCACTTTTCCAAATGAGCATCACAGCGTGACATGTGGATTGTGCTTAATGGGTGGAAAATTCCACTTTTACATTTAATTTATCACACAGAGATGATGTGGAGCACATTTTTCACACAGATTTTACAGCGTGTCTCCATGGCATATCTCCACTGCTAATCAACCTAAAAGCTCATCTGTTCAACCCTCCACCACGAATCACTGACACAAAAAATGAGAAAGTATTTTATCTGTGTTATTATGATTAAAGTAAGTGTCTGCTGATGAGGACAAATAAATTGAACTTTTATTTAAAATGTTCACTCTTAAGTTCACACAGTTCAGATCCATCTACTCCCCTTTGATTCTACCTTCCACACCTGCTTGTTCACAATCCTTTCATCCTCTGCACCTCTGCTCTCCCCTTACTCCCACTCCCCTCTCCTCCTTCTGTCCTATTGGTCATTGGCCAACGGTATAAAGTGTAATCTATCAATAGCAAGGCTATAGTATTAACACAGGAAGCTCTCTGAATTAACTGTAATGCCTGGTGAAGCCTGCTATTGATCATGCGCAATTAGTTTATCCCTTAAATAAGAGCCAGTGTTGAGAATAAGGATGAGGAGAGCAGGGATGATGAGAGGATGTGGGGGAGGCAAGGATCACTGTGGGGGACTGTAGAACAGAGGAGAGTACTGGGACAAGCCTGAGGTGGGTGGTTCTCTGTAGGGATGCCAACTGATACATACAGAATAAAATTTTTATGTGTATGCGTAAAAAAAACACTCAGCTCATCATTCTAAAAAAAAAAAATAAAAAAAACAGACACAAAATTGGTTAATAAAACATTTACACACAAATCAATCAGTGTCCTACCTTCCAATCATGGTGGAGTGCTGCTGGACAGCCGCCTCCAGCAGCCTCTCCAAAATCGTCCATTCTCCCATGGTGATGGAAAAGTGGCAGAGCTGTCAGAGGAAAAAGCACCTGGGGCTCCGACCCCACTCTCTCCAACAGACTCCTTCCTCCTCCTCTTCTTTTTCTTCTTCTTCTTCTCAGGACCAGCCTGAGCTCTTGTGGACCTGCCAACCAGCGGAGGTACCCACAACCCCCTCTGTCACACACCAGCTCCCTTTTGACCTCTGCAAGCAGACCTGGCCCCCCGTCAGTGTGTCTTTGACTGTTTGTGTGTGTGACTGAGTGTCTTCTCCTGGGCCCGTCCCGTTGTGCTCCTCTTCCTTGGTGGAGGAGAGGTGCTGAGCTGATTGCCTCCCCCTCCTCTCTCCCCCAGCCTCTCCCCCTCCCCTATGCAGTGATGCTTGTCCTCTCCCTGCCGCACCAGTCTGTTCTGCGCTACAGCATATGCTATAGCTCACCATATGACAGCCATGATCACCCTCTCTGTTCCGTTCGCCTCTCTTCGTCCCCTCGCTCTTCTCTCCTCTTCCTCCGTCCGTCCCTGCCTTCGTCCTCCACCCTACCCACAGGGCACTCCTTGTACTTCAGCTGCACTCCCTGCCATCAGTGCTGCTCTGCACTTGTCCTTGCATTGTGTAGGATCTTTGCCTTTGCTGCACCCTTGCTACTCTAACCTAAACACACACACACTGCATATATCTGCTCCTGCTTGGCTCACCTCAGTAAACAGCACCGACAAGACACACACTTGCACTCGATGACAATCCCACTCTCCCACTTCCTACTGAGGACTGCAGATGCACACCAGCACACAAAGCCCCTGCCTGCTGAATGTCATTTTACGATTGAAGGAATGGTTGCTCCCACAGCTCCGAGCACTTCAAGAACCCATAAAATCCCTGCATACACACACTCAGAGCCGCACACACAAACACGCTATACCACCCAGCCCCTCAGTAATAAATCAGCTGCCGAGCTGCATCCAGTGATGCTGAACCAAGGCGGTGTGTGCTGCTGCAGACCTGCTGTCCTGTGTTGTCCCCCTGGCTAATTTCAGCACAGTCCAGTGCCCAGAGTCACGTCTGCCGCAGAGAGCCGGGATGAGGAGCTGCCTTGTGAAGCCTATTTCTGGGTTCCATCATCTTGCATCCCTCTCTCTCTCTCTCTCTCTCTCTCTCTCTCTCTTCCTCTCCTCCGGCTCTCCTTCAACCTCCCCTCTCCTCCCTCCTCCCTTCTTTGCTCACGTTTGTGTGCAGATCTCAGTCATGCCAACTACTTCTGTCTCAGTGCTCGCTCCCCATCTATGCCTTGTGCTCTCCCTCTCAGCCTCTGTCTCCTCCTTGCTCATGGAATCACTCTATCTCTGTCTGTGTGAGCATGCAACAACCCCCCCTTCCTCCTCTCAAAGATCAGCTCTCTCTCTCTCTCTCTCGCTCACCCCCTCCCTCCTCTGGTAAATGTGCTTGGATTGCTACCCTGATCGCTGCTTCACTTATGCTTGCAAGAACGCCTCCCACCGTACTGCTGTGCCTGTTCCTGCCTGATGTTGCACAGTGAGAAGGGATTTGTGATCTGAACGTTTCCCTCTGCAGCCTGTCCTCGCTGCTCAGCCGTGTTTCCCACACTCTTCCTCTGTTTTCCCACTCTGTCACACATCATCTAGCCCAGGCTTCCATGTGGGGGATTACAGGAGAATTGTGGTTCTGCTCCTCCCCATCCCCCAACTATCTCCTCCTTCTCTCCATATTTCTGTATTGGCGATGATAACACACCTACCATGACCCAACCCTCATACCCTTTTTGTATTTCCTCTCCTCATCTTCTCTTCCTCATTCAGTCCACCCCCCCTACCTGCCTCTCCCCCATTACAACCCCCACACTCTCTCTCTCTCTCCCTCTCTCCCTCTCAGGAGAGATCAGTGCCGTATTGTACTTTGCTGTGACATTGAAAGCTGCATTCGTTGGATTTATATGAAGGTGCTGAGGAAGTGGGATGGTCTCCCTCCATTACACACAGATGTATGGTGTTTAATCCAGCATGCTCTCATGCCTGTACAGTAGACAAACACAAGAAACCCAAAATATGTTTGTGCAAGAGGGGGAAAGAGATGAACAATGAGAGAAATGAAGGAATCTTACGTTTGTCTTCATGGGATGAGTCGCAGTGAGGCTATTCAATCCCATCAAGGACTGAGTCAACTTCTGCAGAAGTAAATGATGCAGTGGTATGACATGAGACCAGCACACCAGAATGAAATTGTGGCTCTAGGTGACAAGTTCAATTCATTTGCTGAGCGTGTCTTTTTACTCATGCTTCTTTGACTCCAGATGACATGCTTTCCTTGTTGACAGTTTATTTGTTCAAGACAAAGGTGTAAGCATCTGAGGCATTTTAGAAATTGAAATACCATCTTAACATCCTCAAATCCTGTGCTACGAAATTCTAGCAGGTAGCAGTGAGGTGAGCAGATTCACAATCCCTTACACAACAACCTCAACAGTGCATTAGATATCGATCTTATTGTACACTGCTGCCTGCATAAATGCAAATCCCTGTGTGTGTGTAAGAGAGAGAGAAAGAGAGTGTGAAATAAAGAAAAGACTGTGTGGGAGAAACAGAGAGCAAGAGAGGATTTTGTGAGTTCAGCATCTTCTGGGGGGGAAGGCAGGGTGATTTGGGGTCTTTCCCTTACCAAGGACACGTAGCGTAGGAGTGCAGCTGAGGAGAGCAAGGGATGGGGGAGGCGGGCACTGGGGTGTAATGGCTTGAGTTTTGTGAGGGGCTTGGGTTGCGAATTGAGCAGCTGAAGCACTGGCATCAGCCGGTCGTAGTCCCTCTCCGTAAGAGACGTCAGAGCTTGATGGCACATGAGTGAGAGAGAGAGCGACGCAGGTGTGTCTTCAGTGACCTAGAACAGCCCGCTCGAGCATGCATCAACACACATACTGTCCCCACACAATCATAACGCATCACCATATATATATATATATACACACACTTACATTAAGGACAAAAGTAATTTAAATTGTGTAACAGTCTTTATTTTATAGTGCATACTTATGACTAGTGCATTTTGACATTATGTGCGCCTTAACATTACCTGCATAAGTGCCTGTACATATCTTGCAGGGACAATCAATATTCAAGGTGTAATAATAAGGGTGACGTAAAGTTCTATATTCCTCACCATCCTCACAACAAGGGCACTTGATAAAATATGTAAATCAGACGTGATTATTAATAAATGTGATGATGAATCATGGTTTAGTATTCAAATGATATCAGCAGCAAGCTTTGTAATGGGGTAAGAGGTAATTACTAATCTGTTAAACACTAATAAATAATGTATCAACCAATTATGTCACACCAGCATTTTCATCTATTTGTCTGTGTTTGGGCGAAGTAAGTAAATCACCTTGTATGTTGCCACGGAGCTTTAACCTTCGGGCAGCAGCTGTCCGAGGAGCTGGAGGTCATGAGCAATCGAATTGGAATGGGTCCTATAAACACTGCAGCATGAGACCAATTTTAAAACAGTGTCTGACATTGCAGACCACTTTCACACCTTCATACTGCTACCCATAACTGTGATTTCATTTTTGTTCACAAAGATAATTAGTGCCAGACGACTTGATGTTGAAAGGTTGCCTGTGAATATCCAGCATCAATGTAACGAATGTGAGAATGTGCATATTGTTTGAAGGGATGTCTCTAAATAGAAGACCCTGAAAAAAAAGCAACGCTGCCTTTCTTTTAACATAGAGAAAGGGGCCTAATACTGTCAAGGGAGGGGGCGGCGAAGCTTAAGTATTCCTGTCTAAGTGTTAGCTATATCCATCCACCGCTTATCCTTTTTGAGGGTTGTTGGTGGGTGGGGGTGTTGGAGCCAATCCCAGCTGATGCTGTGCGAGAGGCGGGGTACACCCTGACCAGGTCACCAGCCTGTCACAGGGCCAATATACAGAGACAAACAATCATTCACACTCACACCTACTGTACATGGACATTATTTATACACTGATTACAATGACACTATAGTGTTAACGTGAACCAGTCAAGGAAACATGTGTGTTAGGTAGTGGAAGGTTGAAAGGTAGATAGATAGATAGACAGATAGATAGATAGATAGATTGATTTAGATATTAGAAAGATAGACTTAGACATAAAAATACAATATAAATAAGAATATATGTGTAATATATATACAGTATAAATGATATAACAACAATATATCTGTGGCTTGGTCTTTCATTTTTAAATGTTGATTAATTAAGAGAATGATTTTAGATATAATCTCAGCAGCCTATCAGTACAGACCATGTCCAGGATCCTCGAGATAAATCGTGATTGAGATTATCATAAAAATGCTTCGTAGGTACAATAAGGCGGTGGGGTGAGTGCGCCCCCTTGTGGATCTACGAAGATACAACACCCCTCTCGCACAGACCGGTTGTTGTGGTTTGTTTGTGTTTGCACCATTTGTCCCGAATGTGAAGAGAAATCGCGTCTATACGTCGCATGACTCGAGCCGGGTCGTTCCGTGGTAAATTCGCGAGTGCGTTGCTCCGCCACACAACCACTGCTGTTCGTGGCCCTGTGCGCTTTTCCCCTCCAACGGTAGAGGGCAGCATAAGAAGATGTCAACTCGGTGGACGAGGAAGTAGAGGTCCGGAGGAGGTAGCTGCCAGTGGTGGAGACATGTCAGAGAGCACTCAGCTATGCTAACGTAGCAGTGAGGGAGTTGTCCAGAAGTGTCTTGAAGCTTAAAGGAGAGCTTTTAGCGCACGGAACCTCGCCAGCCGGCCTGAGGAGAGGGGCGGCAAACCGGCAAACCCCCACGGACCTGTGATATCTAACAACTGGTTAACTAGCGTTAGCTGACAGGCTAGCCGGAGAGCTCTCGATAAAAAGTAACGCCAGGGCTCGTTTCGTACAGTCATGTCTTCGGCCGGGGACTTCGGGAACCCTTTAAGGAAATTTAAATTGGTCTTTCTTGGAGAACAGAGCGGTGAGTGTGATGTTAAACACTTTGTGGGATGTCGAATATGAATGGAAGGGATGCGGCTAACACCAGAGTTTGGTAGCTTGCTCGGATGTTAACCAGTTAGCAAGCTAACGCTAGCAGGGTATGGATAAAGTTGGCACAGTGGGAGCATTGCGACACTAACTTGTTGCCTGCTGCGTGTCCACACTGGGTTCAAAGGAAGGCATCTTACTCACTGTCAGATAACACAAGTCTGCTAGCTAACGCGCTAACATTACGTCAGCAGCGAGTAGAAAGTTACGAGTGTCACTTAAGTGGAGAAGCTGCTAATACTTAATACTCGTTCTTAAAGTACTTTCAATGTAATTGCATTAGATGTATTCACTAAGTAGAGGCTGCAGTTACAGGCCAGGTTACGGTATTTGCTCCTGTGTTTCACAGATCACTTTGTCTACCCTGAGGGATGCATCCTGCCTGGGGACATTCCTATACTGTCCCTCTCCACAGTCCCTCTCCCAAGCTCAATACTGGCTTTACTTGTGTTGAATAAAAGAAGAGGAGAGGGTCTGCATGAGCTCAATATATAGTCCCGAACAGTGTGACCAATGTCTTTCCCACAGTCTCCACAGCTGTGTGTGTGTGTGTGTGTGTGTGTGTGTGTGTGTGTGTGTGTGTGTCAGAACATCAACTTCTTGTATGTTCCAGCAACAAGCAGTCATTTTGTTTGATCCTCTATCCCAATTTTGAAATTGATGCAGCTTATATTCTTTATCCCAAATTTTCTTAATGCACATAACCTTTTGGGATTATTTTGGTGTCTGGTGACATGAGGCCAGGCTGTCCTGTGGTCTTAAAATAGTTTGTGACACTCTGTGACATAAATGATGGAACTCTTAGTGAAAACACATTTATGGCATTCATTAAGAAACTGCTTGTGAGAGGACCTTTTGGTTTTGACCACTATCTATTCTGTGTAATGAGATCTGTGCCAGCATCAATACTGGTCCAGCTGATCTGATTGGTGCATCCCTAACATAGAATCAGAATGAGGAAGTGTAGAAAATGTGACAGTAACCTTCTACAGGTATTGTGTCTGCTTTTGACTACACAGCTGTGTTTCCATTTAGCCTTGTAAACAGCAGCATTGGCTGTGGCCATCATGTTATCACCACTTGATGCACAGTGTAACTGATCATGTAACCCGAGCTGAGCCGAACAGTCTGATGCTGGGAAGCTCAGTCCAGGTGCTCAGTACAATAGGTATGTGTCTCTGTAGTGAGGCAGGTTCTACTTCTATATATCAGCAAAGTTGAAAGTAAATGTAGGAATGTGGTGTATGACATTATAAGTTCATATCATAGATATGCAGCAGTAAAAAAACACAAAGTTGGGGTTGGACACAGCAAGGCAAATCATTTTAGAAGGGAGGAGAATGAGGCACCTGGTTTCCAACCCTTCCCATCTCTCTACATTCCTCAACCCTTTGACTTCTCTGACTCTTGGAATGATCATGTACCACACCCCTTCATGGAAAAGGACTTTCAGAGGGGTGTGTAACACACTGCTCTCAGCCACATTCTCCTTCATCTGTGGCTCACTGTATACAATTTTAATGTTGCACTTAATGTTGCTTCTTGTTAATTTAACAGCTTTGTGTATTTTGCAGTAGATGGATGGTATGAATTCTTAGTTATGTCATAACATCAGGAAAGTCAGGCCACAGTGGCAATAATTAATATTTAAGATTTTTGAAATTGTTCACACATTTTATCAAACAAGTTCACAAAAATGTGTCTTGGTTATTAAAAACAATAAAGCATTGTACCCCTCACAATTGCTTAATTAAAGTCCTGGGTTTTATGTAGCTTCTGTTGTTCGGTGATGGTGACAGCTGAAACTAGAATGCTAGAAAGATAGTCTGCTAAATATGGCAAATATGTTTTTTTGCATAATTCTGCCGACAATCAAATGTCTAAACAACTAATTAGTCAAATCATTCCCTTAAAAGTATAACAGATGATTAATGGAATCAATACATTAATTACTTAGAAAAATAAGCATTAGTTGCTGTCTATTTTTTGATAGCAACACACAATAGCACATCTGAACACATTGTACCTGCACCATTACAAATTTTGATTCTGTTTTTTGTTTCGTTTTTTTCAGTGGGAAAGACTTCGCTCATCACCAGGTTCATGTACGACAGCTTCGACAACACTTACCAAGTGAGACCAACACCTCCACTGGATTTAATTACCACTTAAATAGTCCACATTATATTAATATCATCAGTAATGTTAATTCAATAATGGCTGTGAATATTTAACTATTTCTAACCCATTTTTCAGGCCACAATAGGAATAGATTTCCTGTCAAAAACGATGTACCTTGAAGACAGAACAGTAAGTTTTATTTTCTTCACTATTAGTCTTAGATCAATGGATGGAGAATGGGGAAAGTGTCTGTAAGGTGTCAGGAATGTGAAGGGGCACTTACATACTGATTTCTAACAAGATATGTCTTTGTTTTTTAACAGTTTAGTTGCATTCTTTCTAGAAAAAAACACCCTGCCCTCCAGTGTGAGCTGGAAGGCATTTTCCCTGGACCGTCGTCTATTTCTCTGTTTTTTTCCTTCCTCAACACAAGTTTTCTTCCTCTCCTTCCTACCCCTCCATCTACTCTCTCCATTCCTGTTTTGAAATTAAACACCTTACTTGATCAATAAAGGAGGTTTGATGACAAGTGAAGGGTGATTATTTATTTCTTCCCCACGTGCCCAGACAGCTCGCTCTTTCTGGTGGTCATTCACTACCTGCATGCACTATGCTTTCTCTGTCTTCTCCCATGCGTCTGACTTCATGTAGTTTTCTTTCAATTTGCTTTTTTGTCACCATAACTTACCTCATTTCTGACCTCGGTTTTTTCTTGTTTTGTTTTCATCCCTTCTGTTCTTTTCTTTTTTATCTTCTTTTATTTCTCCTACCATCCCTTTTGCCCCTCCTCTCCCACAGATCAGATTACAGTTGTGGGACACGGCAGGTCAAGAGCGGTTTCGTAGCCTCATCCCGAGTTACATCAGAGACTCAGCTGCTGCTGTCGTAGTGTACGACATCACAAGTAGGTGGACTACCTGTACATCCCCCTGTCCTCTGTTATATGTTCATATTATGACTTTCTTTAATTTAACAAAATAACATCTTGTTAAATCCACTTAAATGCTAACTACAACAAGCAAAGGTTTGTTTTATACTGCGATGTAACCACACATTTCTTAATGGAAATGTTGTAATTCCATATTTATATATCAGACTTGGCAAGATTTATACAATTCATAGTTCCACTTCATTGCAGGAACACTGTTAAGCTGTTTTCAGACATGAACTTAAGAAAATGTCCTTTTACATATAAAGAACATAGCAGGACATTGTTTGGTCAGACTCGTTCACAACAACACAGAGATTTCTGAAGTGTTCATGAGAGGATAACGCAGGAGGTAATGTTTAAATTACGCTGTGTAGATCACATGTTTTTGTTGACAACACATTGACACTAGCATTGGCCCTTTAACCAAATGCTCTCGAATCTCCTTATCTTGCCATGTTGACATCTTCTTTTGCATCTGCTGTGTGTAACACAAAAAAATCTCCTGAATGTTGATGCTCTGCTTACTGTTTTGTCCTCCTCCTTCTCTTTCTTAGATGTCAACTCCTTCCAGCAAACAACAAAATGGATTGATGATGTGAGAACAGAGAGAGGAAGTGATGTCATCATCATGTTGGTGGGAAACAAGACAGACCTTGCAGACAAAAGGTAAGCCCCCCCCCCCCCAGTGCTAAAGGGCTCTCTCCATTAAGAGCATACTAATGAAGCCATCGATTGTAACTGCTGGCCAGTCAATACTGTGTTCTTCAGCCCCTCCTGAGACAGCATTCAATCAGAGGAAGTTATCTCTGCCCTTTGTGGATGTCAAAGCTGTGATGGTTGCTCTGCTGTTTTTTGACTGCTAGATGCCTTTGTTTGTTTCATTCCATGGAATGGATCATTAAACCCACTATAAACATTGGATGTGAAGATATCTGCCCTTTGCAGTTTAATTGTAAAGGTTTTCTTTTAAATATATCTCGTAAAGTTTGTTATGATGTGTTTTTATTTTGTTGCATTGATCTTGTGTATTTAATCCACACCGACTTTAAATATCTACTTTTGTCAAACTCATACGCTCACTGATAGTTGTCAGTAGTGATGTATAATAGTTTTCAGTATGAAAGTGTGTTCTGTGTGATCCTCTAAATCTACCTGTTTAATGAAATTACATTTGTATTTTGCTGTGCAACTTTTAACCCCCTTATCTACCACAGGCAAGTATCTATTGAAGAGGGTGAGCGGAAAGCCAAAGAACTAAATGTAATGTTTATTGAGACTAGTGCGAAAGCAGGCTACAACGTAAAGCAGGTAAGAGTGCGTGTGAGTCGTGCTCTGTATTCCTGCTGCAGATGCTGCCACCTTGGCGTCACTTCCAAAGGTCACCTGTCAAAATCAAATTTACTAGATGTTGCAGGATCTTAAAGTCATTTATGTCCATTTTTCTCAAGTGGTAGTTTTGGAAAATATTTTGTTTTTTATTTTCTTACTTATTTGCACAGCAAATAAGGAGCTAGAACCAGCAGCTGATTCTCTTAAAGGTCCAGTGTGTAAGATTTAGGTGAAAGGGATTTTTGTTTTTACTGGTGTGTTTCATCTTAATTGTATGAATTGTTGTTTTCTTTACCATAGAATAGACGCTTTATATTTAAAACTGTGTATTTACATGGAGGGGGGTCCTCTCTGTGGAGGCCGCCATGTTTTTTTACTGTAGTCCAAACTAAAACCTTTTTGAGTTTTCATGACAACTGAAGTTCACCACAGGTTCTATTTCATGGAAGGGGAGGGTGAGATGAGGAGTATTCAGATGCAACATGCAACTTCACCTCTAGATGTCACTAAATTCTACACACTGAACCTTTAACCCAGAAACTGGAAAAGGGGTGAAACATTTAGTACAAACAATCTATTCCCAAAGAAAAATAACCTTACCAGCAATAAAGCTAACTTTAACTGTTAGAAATGCTGGTAGCAGATTTTGTCCCTGTTGTAAAGACCCAATCTGTAATTTCTCCTGTTTCAAGTTTTTATCTGAGCTAAGCTTATTAGGCTACAGACAGTTACAGCTGCTGATTTGTCATACACACAAGGGAGTGGTAGTAGTTACTACTCTGCTTCTCTTCCTGTTGTGTAGCTCAGCTGACACAATTAACAGTCGCAATGTCTATCTGGAAACTTTTGGTCTTGAGCAAAGGTGACAGTAACAGCAGGAAGGGGCACGACTTGTTAACCTACTTCAACGTAATCACTACGTATATTTTTTTCTCCTTGTCTTCTTGTCCATGTCTGTGGTGGTATGTGCGTCTCCCTCTGTGTGTTTGTGTGTGTTGTGTGCGGTGACTCGTGGGCCATCACAGACAGATAACCACAGAGGAGGGAGAACAGAGAGCGAAAGAGATGAATGTTCTGTTTATTGAAACAAGTGCAAAGACAGGCTACAATGTCAAACAGGTAGAGAGTGTGCGCCTTTTTGTGTGTGTATGTGTGTGTAGTGCTCATGCTCTCGTCTGATCAGCTTCTGTTTGACACGCATGCGTGCGTGAAGGTGTGCTTTAAAGCTCAGCTCTGTCGAATCGTGTGGATTTGTCTTTCAAGCTCTCTCCCACTTGGTCAAGCATTTGAATTTTATTGGCCAAACTGTGATCGTACAGATCAAACAGTCATAGAGGTGGGTCAGGGTTTGCAAACCAATAATCCTCACTCCACCGATGACCACAGTAACAGTGTTTATGTTGCTGTGAAAACTGCATGTAATCAAGTCTAGCTCTACATGATGCTGCTTAAGCCAAGTTCACACAACACAGCTTTGAAAGTTGTCCGATCACTGTGCAGTTCACACACTACACAACCTTTCACCAGGAGAAACCCCCAGCTAGCATTTCTCTTCTCCAAACTGCATTTGATCACAAAAATGCATGTGAGAAGAGTCAAAGTGAATCTGACAGAGCCTCCTGTTGTTCTGTGTCATCTTGCTACAGAATGACACATTTAGCTGGAGGAGAGGTGAAACGTTTCAGTGGACACAAGAGAGTAGAGAGTAGCTCAGGATGCATTTTTCTGTCCGGACCCATTTGAGCCCAAGAGAACCTGAACCCTACTGTTTTATCTGTCTGAAACCGAACTGAGCCGATGCAGATAATATAAGCTCCACTGAGTTTGTGTCACCTTTCCACACGCATGGTTATTGCTTGATTTCCTCTGATTACATCAGTCAGGAAGCTTAAATGTGTGCAGTGTGAACTAGGCTTCAGCAAGGGGGGCAAGCATGTTCAGCATCATCACGCATTCAGTGCACTTTTCTGTGTTCATGTGAATCCATCAATCACTTAAAAGCTCTTATCAATGGAAGGTCTCATTAAGGCTCAGCTTCTCATGTCAAGCCACTTATGACCTCATAGTGGCTGCTGAATTCAAATCAGACTTTATAAAGCTTTGTTGGGCGTCGTCCTCTGTGTGAGCTTCAAGAGGTCCTTGTGCTAAATCATGTGTTAGGAAGACACACAGACTACATTGACTACATTTCCTGGTCCGACTGAAAACATCTGGTTATCTTTCCCTCCAGCTTTTCCGTCGTGTGGCAGCAGCCCTCCCTGGAATGGATACCACGCAGGACAAGAGTAGAGAGGACAGTATCCTTTATGTTCATGTTGCTGTCTGTGTCTGTCAAACCAGTCAGGAGGTCTCCTTACTCTTTTGTGTCATGTGAATGGTCCATACCAGGAGAAAACTGTTGTTTAACCCATGTGTCCATTCAGGTTTACCTGATCTGTGAGGACACATATTGTGTTCAACTTCACTCACTGATTTACTAAGCATCATCGTAAAAGCATAGTGCACCCAAAAATCTGTTGCTTTATTTCATATAAAATAGATGCTTACTAAAGGGTTTTTTAGGATGCTCCCATGGATTCACAGAAGTTAGTTAGTTGTAACTCTGTAAAGACACTGTTCACACTGAAATTGAATTATTTGTTGAATATTGCTTTAAATGAAATATTTCATTTAAAGTTTCAATCCTAACATCCAGCACTACTGGGAGTGTCCACAAATTGCAAACCATCACTCAAATAAGACTTTATTTATTGTATAATCAACATGCTCAGAATTGCGAGATGTGCACAAGGGTGCGTTCTTCAGAGCTCAAAGAGCAAATCAAATCAAGTCAGGTCATGTTCAAAGCTTCCAAGGCACCTGGCAGTGTAAGACAGTATAAATACAATCTACAATAGGTAGCAACACATCAAGTAACCCTGTTTTTTGTCTGAATGCTTTCCTGTAATATAATTAGGGTGAGGGATGGTTTAATGTTCTGCAAATAACTTTCTCATTTATCTTTTATACTTCAAACTTGACCGGGAAGCTGTTGTCTATTTTTGTTCACATTTTGTTCCTGTGCTGTCGTGTTCTTTAACTCCTAAACTCTTCAGTGATTGACATTAAGCTGGAGAAGCCACCAGAACAACCCATCAGCGAAGGAGGCTGTTCCTGTTAATGTCGGCCAGTGTCGCAACTAAATAATTCTATTTACTGGCTTTTTCCTCAAACTGAGTCAGTTCTTCTATGTCTACGCTCTTCACTACACCCGCCTCTGTGCCCCAGCCTGAAAGATAACACTATATCCACTGTCCTGATCATCCTGGAAAACCATGAGCCCTCAAGTCATAAATCAGTTAAATTGAATATTTGCACTGAGACACATACATTGAGACAGTATTCAAAGCTGGAGCTCAGCCTGCTCACTGTCATTTCAGATGAAATGACCTTTTGAACCAAACTGAAAGAAGAAAAATGTATATTAAAGATGTCATATCAAAGTATGTGTTCAAGAGTGAGAATATTCTTTATAAAGTTGAATATTGCTTTAAGCTTAATAAGCACAGTGTGGCTGTTGTGTGCATTTGTTAACATAATTTGTTCTGTTGCAATTGATTGGCAAAGATGCATTCATGAATTGTGTTGAACAAAATGTTTATTTAACTGTCTGGAATCATGTATGGAAAAGTGAATTGACATATTTGGGCGATCAAAGTGTTGACAAGTTTACAGTACACACACACACACATACACACATATACAAGGCAGCCATGAGTTTATTGTAAAGTGAGTTTTTACTTTGAGGTGCCTTTACTTGCAGAGTCACTGATCTCCCAACATGCACCAGCATGATTTACCACTGAAACCACACACACACCACTGCATGGTCACCACAAACAAGCACAAACAACACCTTGTAAAAGAGCTACGCTAACACTACACCATCCACATTACCGTCCTTCCTCTCCTCACATTTGTCCCTTGAATTATTTGACTGGCTTCCAATTTCTTTCTTTCCTTTTTATTTGGATCGAGATTATTATTTTTTGAGGACTGCAGCAATCATAGATTATAACTATTTCTTTGTTGATAGTGTTTGAGGAGGATTTTGTCCTGTATTAAGAATTATAATCATAAAACCCACCATAAACATTAGAAGTGGAGATATTTGCCTTTTTGGAATTTAATTGTAGAGGTTAGGGTTGGCTTTTGGTTTCTCTAGTTTGGTTTGACATTTTATGAACAATTTAAAGATTTTGATTTCTTTTGCTTGTTTTAATTTAATTTTTTTGTCATTGATCTTTTTGTTAGTGATTATTCTACATGTGTATTTAATCCACAATGACTTGTAATATTTATTTCTGTTGGATTCATGTTTCTTTTTTATGGCTGTTAATATCTTCACTTTTGCTACGAGTCCTGAACCACTAATAAATGTTCATCCATATAGACCACCTTTAACAGAATCAGTAGAGCGTCTGCGGTTCCTTCCACCACTTTTAAATGGCAATTTGATCATCCTGATAATACTGTGCAATTTTTGTGTAAACACATGGAAGAGAGACTCATTTGTAAAGTAGTCTTTAATGTTGCTGTCTGGTATGGTTTTAAATGAAAGAATAAAAATACACTTGTCACAGCTGCAGAAATGCATTTCTCATTACCTCCATCAAGGAGGTCATGCTTTCACCCCTCTCTGTTTGTTTGTCGGTCGCTTAGCAAGAATGATTACCATCAGGTAAGTTTCCGGAATGGGTCCGGCAAAGAAGCCAATATATTTTG